CTTCATTCTACCTCCATGCACATCACGATGAACAACATGTCGGCTTTTTCCGAGTTCAGAGCCCTGTTTCCATGCAACGTGCATGTGCCTTGCTCGGATGTGTGGACGCCCTTGTTGACAGTGAACAACGAAAAGGTGAGCTAAAGCAGCGCGAGGCAGACCATTCCCACTGGCACATTCGTCATGCAGAATCGTCTCAGGATGTCAACTACGCAAGTGTTTCGAGGAGCCCAAACCCCCGTTCATCTTGCCCTGGTAATCCTGCACGTCGTAGCGCCGTCGTACTGCAACAACGACGCGTGGTTGGGGTGGCATTTGCTATCGCCAGCATGGCAAGGGCCATCACATGTACCTTGATATGCACCTACCGCATCCCCAACACCGGCACCTTCTCCACCTCTAACACTAGGACCTCTTCCCGCTCAAACTCCCGCACCGACTCCAACTCGAACCCCTGCTTCGACGCCGCCGTCAAAATCTGCACCTACACCAGTCCCACCTGTAGCCAACCTTATGCCCCACTTCTACGCCCACAACTACAGCGCACACCCCTACTCCACCTTCTACTCCTTGTGGATCCACTCCTTCTATCCTATCGCCACGGTGCCCTCCTCGAGTTTGGTAGTACTGGCATGAACGCCGCGTAGCTAGCTAGCTAGGGACGTTTCTTTCAGAAATCGAGATCTCCATGGATTGCCGCTCACGCAGTACTATCGATCGACTTACATACATCCGTCAACTGGGCTACCCGTTCGAGTGGAGGGGTTTGCTGGGGGGTTTGCCACCCTTGAGGCGGGACGAGTCCAACCCAAGTTGGAGTTTGTTTCGTTCGTGTGCTTCAAGCACGTCGTGCAGCCAGACGAACTTCCGAAACGAGCTCGCACACGGCGATGTCCGAGCGTCGATGGAGGTAGCGTACGAGGAACTGCATAATCTGTGAGCCTCGTCCTCCACGATACGATTCATCCAGGGTCGAAGCCTTTCCGTCGAGACCAAAGCCGCGTGACAGCTCCAGGGCATGTCCAACTCGATAGCCCTCTTTAAAGACATTCGCTTATGGGCAAGACCAACTCCGCATCGACAAGTGGCAAACTTGCTCAAGCAGTATTTTGACTAGTAGACGCGGAACTTCTTGGCTGCCGAGGTCTGCCAGTGCTCCAATGTCCCTGGCGGTCGAAGAGACAATTTGCTGCTGCCATGAGGACAGCAGCCTGCATCGAGATGTGAGATCCACGCCGTGACATTGCCGCAACGCAAGGGCAAACCGGTTCGACGTACCTCGGGGGTCGCCGGACTCTTTTGGAATTCATCAAGATGTTGACTTTGGATTGTGTGTGTTTAGGCCGGAGACTCCCCGAGGTATGGATGAACGAGATCAAGAGTGTTGCGGCGACTCGGTGGACCATTGCGTCTACCCTTACGGAAATTTAGTCCGTCGAAGCAAGCAGTTCGAAACGCAGAGAGAATGGCCATGGTTCGAGGTTTGGCCTTCTTCTAGTGGTCCTAAATCATGGCCTGCTACGTGAAGCATGTGCTAGGCCCTGGCGACTTGGGTGAAAAGACAAACGTGGACCACACGTTTGGAAATTTGAACGGAGAGGGATTTTAAACTCGAATGGGCATCCACTGCAAACAAGTTTCTATCTGAGGAGATGAACACTGTTTCATGCGTTTTTGAGTTTACAGAGTGCACCGCAATTTTGACGTCTATGCCTTCGAGCTCGATCATCTCGAACGTGTCGGCCGGGCTT